CTGACTGACTTCTTTTTTTAATCTTGCCATTGTAGGTGAGTGACACTGACTTCTGGACAGGGAATACAATATGTCTTTTTTTTACATTTTCTTTACTGGTTAGTATTCGATATTGTACAGGATCATGATTCATTTTGCAGGCATGCCAATAGGAGTTGAAAGTAAAAGTAAGTTTCATAAGCATGACGACCCGTTAGAGACTCCATGTGTGAATAGAATACGATGTTAATAAGCCTTTGGTGTGTAAATTACGATATAGTCGACACTGTACTCTACCGCATTCACTTCCCAAGCTGAGTGGACTTAGATTACATGTGGATAGAACCATTTACCCTTAGGACAAAAGACGAGCGGTGTAGCCACTTAGCCACCGCACCATCAATACATATAAATGCTCTTAATTTCACATTTGTTGAATGCGTTATTACTTTTCCAGTCAGGAGAGAAAGTTGAACGTACTGACCCTTGAGAATTTTAAACCTGGAAGTTACACTGAGGGAGCTGAACCGTTCTTGGCGTTGATAAGTTTACACGCGCTACAATTATTTCCGCTTCGTCAGTCTGGAGCTCCCTTCTCTTGGCTACCGTCCACCTTTTCCTTTCACTCTCAGCCGTAGATAATAGACAAATTCTACAACCTTTCTCTCACGGCCTTAACGCCTTCCTTATGGTCATCAAGACTTTGTTTAGGACCTTAATTTTTTTAGTGACTCCTCAAAAGTTTTCATGGACCTACAAAATTTACTTATGGTCCCAAAACTTTTCTTGGACCCACAAAATTTACTTGTGGCCCAAAAATGGTTCATGGGTCTTAAAATGTTTGATTAGGGTTCAGAAACTTTTTTTTAGGGAACCCAGACCTTTCATTATACCCCAAAACATTATTAAATGGCCTTAAAACATTTCTTAGGGTATAAAAGACTTTCCATTGAGCCCCAAATCCTTATTTAGACCCCAAAGTCCGTTGTTAGAGCCCCAAATCCTTAGCTAGACCCCAAAATCCGTAGTTAAACCCCCAAATCCTTAGTTAGAGCCCCAAATCCTGTTTTTCCGAGTCAATAGCTGTTCTGACTCATCTTTGCGTCATAAATTAAGGCAAGTACAATCTCTCACATCTTCAGTTTGGAGGAAGATTTGACGTGGGAGTCTTTTAGAATCCATTTTTGTGTGTAAGCTTAGGTGAGGCAGTTGAACGAATCAGGTGAATACGGTTAGATACCTTTTCACATTCGAACTTAACCCTTTGATGACGATGATTTAACCCTTTGACGATGAAGATTTAACCCTTTGTTGACGATGATGATTTAACTTCTTGATGATAATTTAACCCTTTGTTGACGATGATGATTTAACCCCTTGATGATGATTTAAACCTCTTGATGACGTTGATTTAACCCCTTGACGATTATGATTTAACCCTTCAGGACTCAAAGGGTTAAAATAAAGAAATGTATACCTACGAACATTTAAGGATGTGTGTGTCTCATAATTTAATACATGGATGACAACCAAGATGACTTCAAGATAGCTCTGAGACTCTATTAGTATGACACGAGGCTCTTAACTCCGGTCGAAAGAAAATATTGATATGTTACTCCGACTGACAGCTATCATGGCGTGGATTGAAGGTCCGTAATCATAACAGGTATCACCAATATAAAGCTTATTAACTGGCCCCTGGAGTTCCCCCTTATGACACAGATACAGAATATGTGGAAACTACGCCAGACTAACGTTCGCCAGTCTTCTCTCCACCCACCATAATGATACACTTATGGAAGTTACGCCAGACTAACGTTCGCTCTTATTCTGCTTGGGTTGGCTTTCTTCTATAATACCATGAGTTGTCGTTGAAATAATTACATGTTGTGAGCCGCTGTCGGGGACCATAAAGAATTACTTATCGTGATACAACCAACTATCATGATACCACAGACCATCAAGGTACCACACACACTACCATGATACCACAGGCTACCACAGTACGACAGGCTAACTAACATGATCGCAAAAGATATATTGAGCATAATAATAATAATAATAATAATAATAATAATAATAATAATAATAATAATAATAATAATAATAATAACAATAATAATAATAAAATATATTTGTTGAAAATTATTGTTATCTTCCTTAGTTCTTTGTTCTATATAGTAAAGTTTTAAAGGGAATACTGATGACTTAAGGACTTAAACTCACATAGAACATGCAAATCACGCAATGATTTAAGGAATCACATGTAGTTAATTATAAAGTGTGGCAGGTAAGAGACAGGTGAGTGACCAGGTAAGGCGAGGGGAGGGTGATGTGTGTGATGTGCGTTATAACGAAGCCTTTCTCTTTCCCCAGCAACTCGGTCACCTGTTGGGTCCAGCAGACTCATGCTTCCTACCACCACTACCACACACTACCACAACTACCACAACCACAACCACGAACCACAAACGAACTCCACACTTCCCTCCATCAGTGAATCTTCTTTTGTGGACCTAAATGAACAACATCCATCCAATCATCACCAAGGAACCACAGTACTCACGAGAGCTCCCTTACCTTCACCCCCTGCCAGCTACTCCACACCAACAGGGAGAAGAAAGACTCCAGAAAGACTCAAGAAAAGACTCCAAGAAAAACTCCAGAAAGACTCAAGAAAAGACTCCAAGAAAGACTCCAGAAAGACTCAAGAAAAGACTCCAAGAAAGACTCCAAGAAAAGACTCCAGAAAGACTCAAGAAAAGACTCCAAGAAAGACTCCAAGAAAAGACTCCAGAAAGACTCCAGAAAAGACTCCAAGAAAGACGACAGAAAGACTCAAGAAAAGACTCCAAGAAAGACTCCGTGAAAGAAAACAGCACGTGGGTCTCATCTTCCCAGGTATTGTGTTGTCTTGTCTTATTACTTAATTATCCGTAGCTTTCATTAGTCGACAGGTGAATGAGGTACAGTCAATCCAAAAAACTATCTGTACTTGGGGTGATCGATGAATTTCAGAATGAACACTGTGACTCCTGTTGTCTCCGTAGGGTTGTCAAAATTCTTCGTCCGTTGTGTCATATTTTTTCAACACAATTTGGTATAGATAGTTTTTGAGTGACTGTACATTATATTATCATAAAGTTATTAGTACAGTGTTATCATTATGTTGTTAGGTTATGGTATCCTGGTTTTATTAGGTTTCAGTTATCGGGTTAGTTTAGCTAAGTTTAAAGTTTCTTGGGTTATGTTAGAATAAATTTCAGCTATTTGGGTTAAAGTATTTAGTTTAATTGCCAGGTTATATCGATAAGGTTAAGATGAAATAATTGCGTGAAATTTAGAGTTACTGCGAACTAGATTTAAGTAAACAGATGACGGTGTGGTGTTGTGTGAATGATTCTTTTACTCTTTTTGCCAAACCGTATCGTGTGAGATCGCGTGGAGATGGTAAGGGAATGAACGCATGCTACCATTGCGTTAGGTGAGTGGCAGCATCAAAACCACACACACACACACACACACACACACACACACACACACACACACACACACACACACACACACACACACACACACACACACACACACACACACACACACACACACACACACACACATCTCACGCACTCATGACTTCCAAAGTTCTCGAATGGAAAATTGAGAGAAAGTTTCCCAAAGGTTATTATGAATTATGTGATTATTCCAAGTTTTATAGATATGGTCTGTTAGTTCACACTGCTTCCTTGCTTTTACTAATGAATTAATTGTCGGTATGTCGGTTATCTAATTCAGTGGAAAGATTTGGCATCGTTTACAGGTACTGATGCCGTAAATATTGAACCCTCGAGTGTCAAGTGATGATGGAGGCAGTATTTTCACCCTATTCTCTGATGGTACAAGTTAATTATATTTTTCTTTTTGTAGGGAAGAGAAGGAAACAGAGGTCAGATTGATATACTTATTATTTCCGTAACTATTGACTCGTAACAAAGGATTGAGTCTTATACCCTCATCGGAAAACCACATCAATGACAAGTTTCCTTTTTAGTATCGACCTTTATTTCCTTCTAGTCAACATGAAGGTCAAAAATGATGGTTATATTGATAATTTTAACGTTTATCTGTGGTCTCTCATCCCCTACACACAGTTGAGATATAAAACATTAAAAGATGCTTATTGTTTTTATTTGTTTTTGTCAAATTATCTACCAAAAATTTCATGCAATAAGAACAAGACACGTTGAGGTTTTACATTCTCTTCAGGATGATTGAATTCTTCCCGTGGTAATGAAGACACAGTGTTCTGAAGTCAGTTAATAGTAGATGGTCTTGTGTGTGTGTGTGTGTGTGTGTGTGTGTGTGTGTGTTTTGAGTGACTGTACATCGAACTTACTCCCAAGAAGATGGAAAGACTGCCGGCTCTTTAACTTGCTCCTGGGATAACCTGTTGTATCCCCGGACTGTGTAAGAATCGTGGGCCTCAAATCCTTTTCAGATGATCAGTTAAATCCTACGAAATATGTAAATAACCTCAGAATCTTTGCGTCGTAATGTGTTAGTGATAAACACGTCTTATTTTAGAACGGTTAAAATCTTGTAATTATTAAACTTAAAAGATAGAAGTTAACTAAGAAATTGAAGTCTTGATGTTATCGAAGGGAGACTGACGTGTGTGAGTGATGGATGTCTTGCACTAATCACTCGTCTGGTACGTCTTCCTCAGAGCTCATATAACCTGTGTAGCTGGGAGGTTAAGTTGTATTGTTTTTCTCAAATACCAACATGCGTTAGGGTAAATGTGAATCTGACATCTGAATAAGTATATAGAGTACCTGCAACTTTTGGTCGAGCGCGCTCATACACACACACACACACACAAAGTAGCTTCTGGGTCAGGTGTGACGTCGACGATTTCTCTCTCGGTCTCGGCAGTAAGGGAGAGAGAGAGAAAGAGAAAGACACACGCACGAACTCATTCACTCAGCTGTTTTACGGGGACCTAGATTGAGTGAGTGAGTCAGTGTGCCTCGCGCCGTGCTAGTAAGAGGTGGGGTGATACAGGGCGAAGGTCCCACCCAGTTTCTCGCGTGGCAAACAGTGAGGGTCGACAACTTTGCCGACATTTACAAGACGCTAAAGTTGTTTTGTTTTGTTTTTTTGCTTCGCGGGATTAATTGTCACTCGGGAAGCAATGGTTTAGCAGCCAAAGAATGTGGTACTTGTAAACAGTGGTTATTCCGTTGACAAGTTAATGTTTTTGTTCAGGCAAGCGGAAGGACATAGATCAAGAACAGCAATACCAATATTGAAATTTATTTTATTGTGAATCAAAATGTTTCGTAATTAAGAATAGACATAAGACAGATACCATCCTGGAGACTCGGGATATTTACAAGGACTTTCGAAGGTAAGACCACATCAACTCTACCAAGTTATTGTTGCAGATACAGACTACTTTAGCGTTACCTAAATTTATTCCACCTACCATTATGTTCGTCAAATAAACGTCCATTAACAAGATAATTAATAAACTTTATTTATATAGTTTTCCGTGTTTATTTATTTATTTTATTTTATTTTTATTTTTTTGGGGGTGTCTCGTATCGTCAGGAATGTGTCACACGGGTGGAAAAAATATATATGTATTATAATTTGCTGTACAAGCCTAGACTTAGCGATCCTGTGATATAATTCTTCATTTAGTGAATTTATAGGAATGTTTCGCCATCTGGCATTATAGATTTTGTTTATTTCCCGGATGTGATCGAGTTACCAAACATTACTTCCCTTCCCTCATCATATAGTGCTCGGCATCTCAGTACATAACAATGGAACAATTATTATATTCTCTCGTAGGTGTGCGAAGGTCTCCCGAGTGTCATACTGCTTCGATCTTCGTGTCTTAATGCTTCGATCTTCGTGTTATAATGATTCGATCTTCGTGTCATAATGCTTCGATCTTCGTATCATAATGCTTCGATCTTCGTGTTATAATGCTTCGATCTTCGTGTCATAATGCTTCGATCTTCGTGTTATAATGCTTCGATCTTCGTGTTATAATGATTCGATCTTCGTGTCATAATGCTTTCGATCTTCGTCATAATGCTTCGATCTTCGTGTCATAATGCTTTTATCTTCGTGTCATAATGCTTCGATCTTCGTGTCATAATGCTTCGATGTTCGTGTTATAATGCTTCGATCTTCGTGTCATAATGCTTTGATCTTCGTGTCATAATGCTTCGATCTTCGTGTCATAATGCTTCGATCTTCGTGTCATAATGCTTTGATCTTCGTGTCATAATGCTTTGATCTTCGTGTCATAATGCTTCGATCTTCGTGTTTAATAGACTGAAACGTGATTAGTAATGACTGGGTAATGATGTCTTATATATACTCATTGGCAGGAGGGAATGCTAAGTACTCGAGGATGGGATTTGATTCGTACTCAAGGATAGGATTTAATAAGTACTCGTAGGTAAGAGTCATTAAGTACTCGGATGGGATTTAGTGAGTATTTGTGAGTAGAATTTAAGAAGTACTCGAGGATAAGATTTAACAGGTACTTGTGAATTAGGATTTAATAAGTACTCGTGAATAGGATTAAAATAGTACTCGGATAGGATTTAACAAGAACTCGTGAATTATGATTTAAAAAAGTACTCGGATAGGAGAGAGAGTACATTTCTAGGTAGTGTTTAGTGAAGGACGTAGATAGGATGAAGGATGTGGGAAGGATTTTCTAGGATGAATGAGAGGATAAATAGGATTTCTGTGTAGGATAATTGAATAATGGTGAGAATAGGAGAGAATGGGTGAATAATGAATAGATGAAGATGTGGAGAATGGGTTATACTGAGGCAATACACACACCCAACACCACACACACACACACACACAAACAGACCCACACACACACACACAAACAGACCCCTACACACACACACACACACACACACAGACATCACCTCAAACAACCCCTACACACACACACACACACACACACACACACACACACACACACACACACACACACAAACAGACCCTACACACACACACACACACACACACACACACAGACGACCCTACACACACAAACAGACCCTACACACACAAACAGACCCCTACACACACACACACACACACACACACACACAGACGGCCCCTACACACACAAACAGACCCTCACACACACACACACACACACACACACACACACACACACACACACACACACACACAGACTGACCCTACACCCAAACAGACCCTACACACACACACACACACACCACACACACACACACACACACACACACACACACACACACACACACACACACACAGACGACCCCTACACACACAAACAGACCCCTACACACACAAACAGACCCCTACACACACACACACACACACACACACACACACACACACACACACACACACAACACACACACACACACACACACACACACACACACACACACACACACACACACACACACACACACACAACACACACACACACACACACATACACACACACACACACACACACACACACACATTTACAACAGACAACATTGTAAAATTTAAAAAAAGTAGAAAGACAAGACAGACAGACAGACAGAGGAGGGAGGAGGAGAGGTTGGAGGATTGTGTAATACCTGAAGGTTTACCTTACCGAGAAGGTCACCTGAGGAGGGGTGACTTAACCATCTGCCTGACCTCTGGAGCCACCTGGTAGTAGTGAACGACCTTCCTTAATGAGAGAATACCTCACTTAAACAGGTGAGAAGAACTATAATACCTCACTTAGACAGATGAGAAGACTATAATACTTCACTTAGACAGATGAGAAGAACTATAATACCTCACTTAGACAGATGAGAAGAACTATAATTCACTTAGATGAGAAGACTATCCCACCTAGACAGATGAGAAGAACTATAATACTCCTCACTTAGACAGATGAGAAGAACTATAATACCTCACTTAGACAGATGAGAAGAACTATAATACCTCACTTAGACAGATGAGAAGAACTATAATACCTCACTTAGACAGATGAGAAGAACTATAATACCTCACTTAGACAGATGAGAAGAACTATAATACCTCACTTAGACAGATGAGAAGAACTATAATACCTCACTTAGATGTGAGAAGACTATAATACCTCACTTAGACAGATGAGAAGAACTATAATACCTCACTTAGAAGATGAGAAGAACTATAATACCTCACTTAGACAGATAGAGAAGAACTATAATACCTCACTTAGACAGATGAGAAGAACTATAATACCTCACTTTAGACAGATGAGAAGAACTATAATACCTCACTTAGACAGATGAGAACTATAATACCTCACTTAGACAGATGAGAAGAACTATAATACCCTCACTTAGACAGATGAGAAGAACTATACCTCACTTAGACAGATGAGAAGAACTATAATACCTCACTTAGACAGAGAGAAGAACTATACCTCACTTAGACAGATGAGAAGAACTATACACCACTTAGACAGATGAGAAGAACTATAATACCTCACTTAGACAGATGAGAACTATAATACCCTCACTTAGACAGATGAGAAGAACTATAATACTCACTTAGACAGATGAGAAGAACTATAATACCTCACTTAGACAGATGAGAACTATAATACCTCACTTAGACAGATGAGAAGAACTATAATACCTCACTTAGACAGATGAGAAGAACTATAATACCTCACTTAGACAGATGAGAAGAACTATAATACTCTTCTAGACAGATGAGAAGAACTATAATAACCTCACTTAGACAGATGAGAAGAACTATAATACCTCACTTAGATGAGAAGACTATAATACTCACTTAGACAGATGAGAAGAACTATAATACCTCACTTAGACAGATGAGAAGAACTATAATACCTCACTTAGACAGATGAGAAGAACTATAATACCTCACTTAGACAGATGAGAAGAACTATCACCTCACTTAGACAGAGAGAAAACTATAATACCTCACTTAGACAGATGAGAAGAACTATAATATTTCACTTAGACAGATGAGAAGAACTATAATACCTCACTTAGACAGATGAGAAGAACTATAATACCTCACTTAGACAGATGAGAAGAACTATAATACCTCACTTAGATGAGAAGACTATAATACCTCACTTAGACAGATGAGAAGAACTATAATACCTCACTTAGACAGATGAGAAGAACTATAATAACCTCACTTAGACAGATGAAAGAACTATAATACCTCACTTAGACATGAGAAGAACTATAATACCTCACTTAGATGAGAAGAACTATAATACCACTTAGACAGATAGAGAAGAACTATAATACCTCACTTAGACAGATGAGAAGAACTATAATACCTCACTTAGACAGATGAGAAGAACTATAATACCACCTTAGACAGATGAGAAGAACTATAATACCTCACTTAGACAGATGAGAAGAACTATAATACCTCATAGACAGATGAAGACTATAATACCTCACTTAGATGAGAGAACTATAATACCTCACTTAGACAGAGAGAAGAACTATAATACCACATAGACAGATAAGAAACTATAATACTCACTTAGACAGATGAGAAGAACTATAATACCTCACTTAGACAGATGAGAAGAACTATAATACCTCATAGAAGAGAGAAGAACTATAATACCTCACTTAGACAGATGAGAAGAACTATAATACCTCACTTAGACAGATGAGAAGAACTATAATACCTCACTTAGACAGATGAGAAGAACTATAAACCTCACTTAGACAGATGAGAAGAACTATAATACCTCACTTAGACAGATAGAAGAACTATAATACCTCACTTAGACAGATGAGAAGAACTATAATACCTCACTTAGACAGATGAGAAGAACTATAATACCTCACTTAGACAGATGAGAAGAACTATAATACCACACTTAGACAGATGAGGAAGAACTATAATACCTCACTTAGACAGATGAGAAGAACTATAATACCTCACTTAGATGAGAAGAACTATAATACCTCATAGACAGATGAGAAGAACTATAATACCTCACTTAGACAGATGAGAAGAACATAATACCTCACTTAGACAGATGAGAAGAACTATAATACCTCACTTAGACAGATGAGAAGAACTATAATACCTCACTTAGACAGAAGAAGAACTATAATACCTCACTTAGACAGATGAGAAGAACTATAATACCTCACTTAGACAGATGAGAAGAACTATAATACCTCATAGACAGATGAAAGAACTATAATACCTCACTTAGAAGATGAGAAGAACTATAATACCTCACTTAGACAGATGAGAAGAACTATAATACCTCACTTAGACAGATGAGAAGAACTATAATACCTCACTTAGACATGAAGAACTATAATACCTCACTTA